CGTTTTTCTCGCTTGCGTATTTGCAAAGGTTTGAAGGAAACGAGAACAAGCTTTGCTTTCTTCCCAAGACTAATAATCTTAATCAAATCGATCTCCTTTCGATTATCTCTCTCTCAGATCAAATCGATTTCAGTCTTGGAAATCAATGGCGTCTGGGTCGTCGGGTCGGGTCAACTCAGGATCCAGGGGTTTCGATTTTGGTTCCGATGATATCCTCTGCTCTTACGATGACTACACCAACCAGGACTCCTCTAACTCCGATCCTGCCATCGCTGCTACCAACTTCAATAAGGTGAACACACAGATTTCGCCTTCCGTCTTCTTCTTTGCTCGATCGGAGATTTGTGTTGCTTTTTTGTTTTTTCCTGGGAATATGGATTTTGTCCTATTCGCGTGATCTTTGTACTTGTTTGATTTGTTATTATATTCCAAGCTTTAAAAAAAAAAAAGCAGTTTCTGGGAGTCAATATCGAACTTGTGCGTGCTGTGCTCTTAGTTGTAATTGCGTTTGATAGTATAATTGGTAGCTCAAATTGTCTGGTTGCCTATGACAAGTAGTAAGATGATACGTTTGTTAGGTTAGTGATGGTTTTGGCTGTACTATGAGGAATTATCTTGTGTTGAAACGGCTTGGCAATGAATCTTAAGAGCACTAGCTCAGTATTTCTTATTAAAAAGAACGAGAGAGCTCATTTTGATATTGTTCACCTGTAAAATGTCTCTCTTATAAATTGGAAGAAAATTTCTCATTCACTTGATCATGCTAGTAGTACTGAGCTACTTCTGTTTTTTGCCTGCAGGAATTCCACAAAACCAGGATGGCGAGGTCTTCAGTGTTCCCTACAAGCTCTTACAGTCCACCGGAGGACTCTTTGAGCCAAGAACTTACTGCAACTGTCGAAAGATCCATGAAGAAGTATGCAGATAACATGATGCGCTTTCTTGAAGGCATCAGCTCACGCTTATCACAGCTAGAACTGTACTGCTACAACCTTGATAAGACTATTGGAGAAATGAGATCAGATTTGACACGTGAACACGAGGAGGCTGATGTGAAGCTTAGATCTCTGGACAAACATCTGCAAGAGGTGTGTTATTAGGTCTTTTTTTGTTGCTTGTAGTTTTTAAAACTCTGATTAGCAATGGATGTTAAGATCACGTATGTTCTGATGTAGGTGCATAGGTCAGTCCAGATTCTCAGAGACAAACAAGAGCTAGCAGATACTCAGAAAGAGCTAGCTAGGCTTCAACTTGTGCAGAAAGACTCATCTTCTTCGTCTCATTCTCAACATGGTGAGGACCGGGTTGCGACTCCTGTTCCAGAGCCTAAGAAGAGCGAGAACACCTCAGATGCACACAACCAGCAGCTTGCACTTGCTTTGCCCCACCAAATAGCC